AGTTAAGTCTCCTTCTTATGCTGGTACAGTGGTTTTGTGTCTACCCCGAGGGGTAGTGCAGCGGTAAAGACAACAATAAATGTTTTAATATGTTTATTATACATTAAGGGGAACCTAAGTCTTAATTAAGACGGGTAGGGTTAGCTGTGGTTAATGGACTTTTTACTCGGGATGTAGCAGAGGTAGTGGTAGGCTGTATGGCAGGCTGACTTCGATCCACTCATGCCGTGTCCGCCTCATGCCAGCACTTAAAGGCAAAGCTCGCGACTGCAGATGGCAGGTAATAGAGTTCAAATTCGAGCGACAAAATGCTAGGTAACTGGTCAGTGGAGGAAAAAAGCAGAAAAAACTGTTCAAGATGCCCGTGTAGGACTACGTGCAGATACTGATTTGTACGTGCAAACAGTGAAGAGAGGGCGTGTTTGTACGAATTTCCGCTCGTTATCATAAACATATCAGCTCTTTTATCTTATCACCTCACTCTCACCATTCGGAATAGAGAGATAGTATAGTGGCTACTAGCTAGTAGCTAGCAGCCAGTGGGGTCGGCATGGACCTAAGCGGTGCTCATGGGCCTCATTGGTCAGCTTTCATCGGAATACTAGCGATTTTTAACTTTTTGAACGTAGCACAGCCTCCACAACCGCCTACTGGATCGTCTTAGACATTTGAGAGGTAATAGCTTTAGTTTATCGTGGAATGTGCCTTTAGGGGCCCTCGCTGAGAGAGGTTCTAACCTCAGACGAGAAGAGAGTAGGATAGTTCGGGCTCGTCGTCGCAGATTACGATAATTCCGCTGAACTCTTGTGAAATGGGCAAGCTTGTCGGGCCACCATGATGAACGTCATCTGTATGGTATTTCGTTTTTTTCAAAAGTTGAAAAGTGGTCTACACAGACTTTGACTTGCATCGTTCGCAAGACTTCGCTGTGCTCCGTTTGATGGCTCGATCCGTCGAAGGGAAACAGCAGAAGGGCAAAATGCTCCCCAGTTTTTGTCGCCGAGCTATGCCAGACACCTGTGCTGACATTTCTTGCCTCAATATATTGCTCGATTTTTTTATTCAAATATCGCAGTGAGGGTCGTGTGGTGGGAATTGGCGCCGTCTACCGTGGCCACGGTCAGAGCGTAGTGGATGAAATCTTGCCCAGACCACCATGCTCTCCATCTCTACGGGGCGCTTAGATGAAGAAACGCTTATAAGAAAAGATGAGTACCACAGTTTTTGCTATTGTCCCGTAACTTTTTTTGGAGTGGCCCATAAGTTACAATGGCTGATTAGAGCCGCTCCTGTGGAGGCGAAGAAACTCTAGAGTAGTGAGGTAAGGGAAAGAGTTCTTTAATGATCCGTAAGAGGTGAACTACGCGAGCAGTCTTAGGGTTTGCAGTCTTTGTTGTTGGGGCGCGCCAGCGAGGCTGGGTTTGGCGTTACCAGGCCCTTCTCCACCAGTTGCTGTAGAGGGTTAGTTGCAAAACCTGGTGAAAAACGACGAATGCGAAGGATATGATAGTTGTCGGAAAAAAACGGAGCCGCCGCCGCGTTGATACTCCCCATTGCCCGTAGCGAACGGGACTATGTATAACCGCTAATATCTTTACTTGAGTGATTCTAAAGGGTTAACGGCCATGTTTCAAGTGTTGGTCCTTGCCTCTATGAAGATAAGCCACTAAACGTAGGACCGGAATTTTTCGAAAAACTACAGTATTCGCTTCGTTGCGGGACCTATGACCGTACTCCCGGCACATTATAAGGCATTTCAAACTGGCCTAATTATACTCGGAATTTCTGAGATCGGGTAGGCGTGGCTGCGTACTTGATTTTAAAATGGCGGCGGCCCAGGTTTTCGTGAGATATTGTCATTTTGGAGCAGTCGTAATCATGTCTACATCTAACACAGAACAAGATAGCAGTTGTTTCAAATTGAAGTATCCCACGAGAAACCCGTCCTATGCCATGCTCAAAGCCACGCCTACTTTGTCTCAGGGATAGGGAGTGTACGAGTGCACATTCTTTTGGACTTGGAGAAGTTGATAAACGTTTATTAGATTGTGAAGATGAAAACTATTGACTTGGATGAAATATTTTTGCGTTGTTTAGGTTTCACTGCTTAATATATACGCGCAGGCCAATTTTCCGAGACCAGCTAAGGGCGTTATGTAAGCACTTCATCAGAAGCTGGAGCTTACTCATGGTATGCAGGAAGAAATACTGCATGCTTCCGAAACAGATGCAGTCCTAAGGCTAGGGTTCGTACTCAGTTTGCTGTGAGGTCGGGCAGTTTCTATCTTGTTGCTTCGTATGGAAATCTAGATTAACTCCTGAAAAAAAGGAAATGAGTACACGGATACACCACCGTTCATACCACGAGGAATCAGAGCAGAGACCGTAAAATATTCGCATATTTGAAATGATATGCATTCCTGCCTATGTAGCAATGATATGCTAACTCATCAGACATTGTAACACTGAACTCTACAAAAAGGCAGAGAGACTGTTTCGAGCATGATCTTCTATTTGACAAATGTCTACCTTCCGTTCTCTCTGAATCGAAAAGAAAGCGCCTGTAAATTTAGGCCAGCATGGAATGCCGGCAATGTGCCACAAGAGTACGGTAGCTGGTCCTGCAACGAAGCTAAGTACGGTAGTTTTTCGAAAAATTCCGGTCCTACACTTAGTGGCTTATTCTATGAAGTGTATCATAAACTCTGTTTCAACTCAGAATCGTAGTAGCTGGGTTTTGACTGCGATTTGGCTAATCGCCTTACCTGCAGGAGTCAGATAAAGGTGAAGCCAGTGTCCCTCCCCGTTTGATTTGGGGTTGCTCCGAGATTCTGTCCTCGAACGGCACGTTTGATGCGATGTTATTTATAAATACCACCAATCACGCCGTGCAATTGCGTACTCACTGCTGCTACCGTAATCCACGCCTAAAGCGAATTCACAGCTGCGGCTGTTGCGCCAACTGTAACTTGCACTCCGCAACCTAGGCTCATGTCTCTTTTAAGAGGAGGTAACTACGCATTGCAACCCCCCAGGGTCGTACAAATGCAAAATCATTGGTATGAAAAGAACTGTTCATACTGTGTCCGTCCTTGGATAACGCGAGGAATATTCGGTAGAAGCGGATTTTTGAGTTTTCATGGACTCATGGGCTGGTAAATACTTAGACCGCAGAACTAAAAGAACTTGAAATTTTCCTCTTCCTAATGAGTACAATATGTATTTTGAGCCCACTGTATCAAAAATCACTCCACGCGGATTCGATCCGAGGGTTTACTATAGCTCGCCAACAGAAAGTCTTGGTCGATTACACTGCCAGCACTCACCATCCCAGAACCAGAAGGATTCAGTGGGCATTCTCTTCGCTTTTAATATGAATAAACGGTCTGAAGAACAGGGAGCGCTGAACAGGACCCGTTAAACCGTGCTATGTATTTACAGCGTTCGACTTGTACTCGTCTTCGGAGGATTCAGATGCGAAGAGACTATACGAAATATGAACGCTGTGACGTTAGCTTTTTAGGAAAAGAGGGGGCATAATTTCGCAAACTAATGGTCTTTTACACACCTATGATCATAACTTGGGATCAGAGCTTTGGGACATGAGGAGGGGTTTCACTGGTTCTGGTCTACGTGGGGGTAGTATTGCATTTACAGACCACATCAATTCATCATGAATTTGTAGCCAGTCGGAGTTACGGCACTCCACGGCGAGACATGAAAGTGAGGCAGTGCTTCACTTACAAGGGAGGTCGTTCAGGGCGTGGTGCGCTTTTCGAAAACGGTTTTTTGCATATTGTAGGGGCTCATGCAAGGACCTGAAAAGTGTGCTTCATTTTCGCTGCGCGCTTCCAGGAAAGGTAAAAAACGAGTGAAAAGAAATCTGTGGAATCTGCTGCTTCCGTTCCGGGCCTCTTTACGGGCGTAGGTCACTTGCAACTTGGACCAGTTGCTGAGTGGGGGGTCCTTATAAAGGGGCTATTTGAATCGAAGCGAAAAATCGCCGCAAGTGAGCTTCCAACTTGGGTCATGTGCTCAAGGGTGAACGGCTTCTTGCAATGGTTTCATCAACGATAAGAGCGCTAGCACAGTGCGAGCATCATCGGATGTGGTCCCTGAGTGGACTAGAGTGAAGTTTGCAAATCGGGCAATGCAGGGTGGGTTGATGTTTTGGTTCGGCCTCCCCTTGTGTCGTGGCTTTTTGGCATTTTTTTTAGAATTTTTCGTCTGTTCTCTTCGGCCTTTCCATTTCTGTCTGCGCATGAATATAACTCGGATATTTGTCATTTATGGGCACATTCTGAGTAGCTGTACCTCATGAGTCAGTGCTATTCAACTATTTCGATTTCAGGCACCATTGTGACCACCCAGCCACTCCACTATTGATCATATGATTAGGATACTGTGCCAGCACTGTACGTTGATCTCCTACTTGATCCCACCCCCCAGGGCAATTGCCCGCCAACTAGTAGTATATAAAGGGGACCCACACCAGTACTACTAGACTAGGTCTCTTGTTTTTTTTTTGTACTGTCCGCTCACCGCCCATTTGACCGTTGATTCTTTTGTTGTTTAAATTTCTATGTTCTCGTTCTGTTTTTTAGATAAAGTTTCTTCGAAGACTTTGGCACACTCCTCTGTTCAGGGTACTTTTACTAGTGGATTCCCGGTGCAACCGGTTGACACCACAGCGGGGAAAGCGAGGTCACTCACTACCCCGTAGCTACTTGGGGGCCGAACCAACTTGGACAGGAGGTGCCAAGTTTGAGCTCTTAGCTGTATCCCGTGGAGACACGGTGAAAGGCAGCAAGAAGGAAGTTAAAGGACCGGATTTGTTGGATCCCCTTGAGAAAAGGGTCGAACCAACTCGGATAGAAGGGCAAGGAGTGGGGCTTCTGAGCTGTATCCCGTGCAGACACGGTGAAAGGCAGTGAAAAGGAAGTCTTGGGGAACCGGAGCTTTTTTCGGACTTCTGGTTGGGTCTCCTTGGGACGAGGTTGAAGCGAAGCGCTGGATAGGAGGTCAGAGATTTGAGCTTCCTAGCTGTATCCCGTGACCACACGGTGAAGGACAGTGGAAAGGGAGTCGGGAGCTGGGCTAGTTGGCACAGGTCAACTATTGATCAGCTGTTCACAACCACTGGCAGCAGTCCAGAAGAGGTACTGGCCAAGGAAGGAGGGACGTTTACTTTAACGTTGCCGGGTCAAGTGTTCAAGAACGAGGAGCATTATTTTTCTTGTCGAACTCGTTGTCTATTGTCGCGTACTCACTAATTTGGTGATCGATTCGCGCCGTGATAAGTACTGTCGACTCTGAGCAGTACCTTAACTAAACTATGCTTTCAGAAAAGATGAGCATGATTTCGTCGATAACTTCCGAGCAGCTGTTACGCACGCCGTCTCGCAATGGAGATCCCCAGGAACAAATGGATCTGGACGAGTGCAGATCGGAGGCAGGGGTGAGCTTTGAGAAGGAGTTCGACAAATTCTCTAACAAGATAATGTCGCAGATAGCTACTATAGCTGTTAAGTGCGATAGTGAGTTAGCAAAGACGATGCGTACGGATGACCCTAAACGGGATTCAGTGGTGGCAGCCGTAAATGAACAAAGCGCGTTAGTGAAAGAGATAGTGCGCACCATTCTGAAAGAAATGCGCGATTTCTGTGGCCCAAGGATTGCTGACGGGATAATTAATCTTTTGAGAACAGCAAATATCTCTGAGGCCGAGCAAATGAAGCAGTTATTTAGCGATTTCGACGACATGAAATCGATAGTAATGCACGCATCCCAAAAGTTAGGCTGTGCCACAAACCAGATAGTCGATACAGTGGAAGATACTCTCCATACTATAAGGAGCTTACAAGAAACTAACTCACAGTTATGTTGTAAAATACAACAAAAGAATTGCAGGTGGAGAGCCTACGCAAAAGAGTTGAAGACTTGGGCGACAAGAGGGCGGCAAGCAACCAAGGAGAAAATGATGGACCTGTGGTGCCCAACAACGGTAACGAATCAAACACTTGTCGCAACATACAACGAATGCCCAATCTCGCATTTCAGGAATCTCAGCTATCGACCTGGATGCGATCGACCCAAGGATCCTCAAGGACTATGCCGAACGATAGACTTAAAAGGAACAGAAGCAGAACTCGGCGGCTTCATGACGAAAGGCGAGGACCAAATTTTTCGTGCGATTTGGGCTAATGGAGTCGCATAAGGTATATTTTGACCACCGATGGAGGCATTTGACCCCCGATGTTCAACCTTTTGGAGGTAGACCTCATGAGTGTTTCAAAAGGTTTCTATCTTCGTTCGATATTAAGTATCCTAGAGATAAATGGAGGGATTCAAGTCGTGTACAGTTGTTCCAAAGTTTCTTACGTAAAGACGCGCTTACCATATGACAACCTTAGCCCGGTTGGAGTTACGCGTATATAGGGGAGAGCATTGGTTGATGAATACGGTAGTTGGGCAACTGAATGAAAATGCGCATGCGCGTCGATGGGAACACTGAAAGGGTTAAGGCTCTGGCTGATTTGAGGAAGTTGACCCTAAGAGATGATCAGTCAGTTGCGGAATTTTGTTTGCTATTAGAGCGTTTGACAAATAGAGCGTACCCAGACGTGCCGCAAGAGGTGACTGCGCTACAGAAAGCGGAAATTTTGAGCAGGCAGCTCGCGAGCTG